GAGACAATTCTTGTTATGCCTCTCTGTTACTCAAAATCCTTCAATGGCTCTCCTTTGCACATGGCATAAAGTTGACATTCCTAACACACATTATCTTCCATAACCTTGCCCCACCCTACCTTTCCTGCATCATCTCTAATTCCTAATAAATTTTATGTTCCAGGCAAACTGCAGTATTTGCAATCACTTATGCTTTCCCTACTCTTCACTTTGGTCACTTTCCCTCCTACCCCCATCCCCTCTACATTGTCTTTCCATCCTCTCTCTACCTATCAAAATTCTGCCCAGTTCAAATGTCATCTTCTCAACAAAGCCTTCATGAGCTCAACCACAAGTGATCCTCTGAATCTCCATAATACTTCATTTGAACCCATCTCACGGACTTTATCACATTATACCTTGTACTGTAGTGACCTGCATATATCCTAATTCCCCTCATAGATTAAGTGCCATGAGGGCAGGGGTCATATTGTTGTATACATCTTTGTAATTACCCTGAATCCTAGCATAGTGTCCTGCACATAATCAATTTTTGATAGATAAATGAATAAATGAATGGATAGATGGAGTGACTAACTGTTAAATAAACAGGAGTGGGGATTTCCTTGTCTCTTTAAAAGAATGAACACCCTTATCAATGACTGTTAGAAAGAAGAAGGGAGAATGCAAACATATCAGTTCTACTGTCTATATAGTAGAGGGAAAACAGAGCAGGTGGTTATCATTTTTGTCTCCAATTAAACTAAGGGATTTTCCATGGCTTTCAACAACCCAAGTTTCCCTTACCCTTACTGCCACATAGATTCTACATTTTCTTCTTCACACTCCACCTCCGACTTGCCTGTTTTTAAGTGAATTTTATATTTCTACAGCTATTGAGACAGCTCTATTTTTAGAGGTAAGGCAGCACCCACATTGCACAGGGGGAAGACTATTAATCTCTTGACTCTCCTAGGTTCTAGAGCTGGTTTCTAAACTTAATAGCTGTGTAACCCTGAACAAGTCACCTAATCTCTGATCCATGGGGATAATAGCTACCATTGTCCTGCTTCACCTTATTCAGTTTTTGTGAAAGGCAGACTATAAGGCTTTGGACACATGTGAAGGATGATGATTATAGTGATATCATTAATCAATCTGCTACCTTAATCTTCTATGTAACCTCTATTTACTTTAGGTAGTCCTACACCTGGGCCACATCTAAGCCCAACTTACTAATTCTGCAAAGAATGACTCCGGAGGTGCTCAGGAGTGAGAATGAAAAGATGGAGATGACAGAAAACCAGATTTCAGATTCAGAAGGACTGTCATATGATGAGGAATTAACCTGAATCCGATTAGCTCCAGAGAGCAGACTAATGATAGGAAGTTACAGGGGGGCAGATTTGGGCTCATCACAAGAAATAACTTTTTAATAATTAGGCCTATCCAGAAATGGAATGGGCTGCCTCACTAGAAAGTGAGTTCCCCATCACTGGGAGCATTCAGTGAAGGCAAGATGAATATTTGGGGATTTGACAGAGGGGATTCCTGATTCAGGTATGCACTGGACTTGATAACCTCTAAACTCTATTCCAATTCTGAGATTCTTTGATTCTGACTGAACAAAATGATAAATATTTTTTAAAAAATCTGAGTGAAAAAATTTTTTAATTAATGTAAAAGCAAAATACATCAATAATTACTTTATATTTTAAATTGCCATTTGACAATTATAGAACTCCTTCCCTGTAGGACTGAAACTTTCAAAGACATTCTCTTTCCTTCCTCATATTCACCTGAAAGCAAGCTCTTTTTTGTGTTTTTAACTTGAAAGCACCAGGAGGTGGAATGAAATGCCTTACATATAATCTGACTGCCAACTTCCAAGCCCAGGGCAGCATTACCTCATCTAGCCTGGCAAATGACTTACATTTCTAGAGCACTTCCAAGGTTTATTACACCTCATTTTACAAAAGAAGAAATGAAGGCTCAGAGACACTGATGTCCCCATGATCACATTATAATACACAAAATGATATACATATATGATCTCATTATATTCTCACAACAGGCCTGTGAGTCAGACATTACAGGTATTATCCTCATTCCTCAGATGAGGAAACTGAGGCTGAGAGATTATATGACATGGCCATGGTTACACCTCACATGGGCCTGAAGCAGGGGCTGGCTCCAGACCTCTATTGCCTCCACGTCCAACACTCTTTCCACCATACCATGCTGCTTCAGAAACTAAACTCTACCTCTTTCTACATTGCCATAGCATCAGTTATCTCCCCAAAACCAAACCAGTCTCCATTTCCCCTCCAGGAAGTAGTTAAATACATAAAGTCACTTTTGCCAACATGTATGATATGAGCATGGTCAAACTGACCACTGGGAAGCACTGGGATATTGCTAGTTCAGGTGCTACTTCCTGCCTCAGGTGACCACACAGGAGGACATTGCCTTGACCCCTTCCAGCCTTTCTCAGGGTCCTAATCAACAGTTATGAAAGGTCATAACATTTCCTAAACGATCTGATGTTTCCACTAAACATGTTACCCTACTTTTTAAAGGGCTAACAGAAAATATTTTTAAAGAACCCAACAGATTCTTTGGGAGTGCCTAGGGATATTACAAAGCGATTCACTGCAGCATGTCTTTAAACAGGCATTTCCTAGAATGCTTAAGTTCCATTAGTGAGTGCTAACTATTTGACCAAAAGGCTATCAAATAAAGAAATGAAGCTAAGTGTTAGGAGCCACAGTCACTGAAGACCAACCTGAAAAGGATGATGAAGCATCATTAACATAAGTAGAAGAAACGATTTTATTATGTCAGGTTTGTCAAAAACACAACTGTTTACAATGTGGCCCCACCTACAGCAAATAAAAGATACATTACACAAGAGTAAATAGATACCAGCAAGGTATCTAGCTGTCATTAGCATCAAGGGCCTAAGATAGTAACAGATTAGGAGGAAAGGCTCACTGATAAGATAAGATCAGAAGAATGTAGTAATATATAATAGCTAGCATTTATATAGTGCTTTAAAGTTTGTAAAGTATTACAAATATTTGATCCTTATAATAATCCTGGGAGGTCAGTATGATTATTATCCCCATTTTTCAGATGAGGAAACTGAGGAAATAGACATTTATATAGCACCTATTATGTGCCAGGCACTGTTCTAGGCATTTTATAAATATTATTTGATTCTCACAACAACCCTGAAAGGTAGGTGCCTCATTTTATGGTTGAGGAAACTGAGGCAAAATGAGGTTAAATAACTTGCTCAGGGTTACACAGCGAGTAAGTATCTGAAGTGGGATAGGTCTTCCTGACTCTAAGTCCAAGCACTGGACCATCTAGCTGCCTGGGAGATGGAAGGCAGTGTGTTATACTGTAAACAAGATGAAACTCAAGAGTGTAGACACTTATGATGTTGTCCCAGCTCTACTACTAACTAGCTGCATGATGTTGGGCAATTCATTTCCCCTCTCTGGGCTTTGCTTTCTTTAATGATAAAAAGGAGTTGGACCAGTGATCTCAAAGACCCCTTCCAGCCTTGACATTTAAGGATTCTATGAGAACCATCTAGGAAAAAAAAATATGCATGTGTCTCATATATGTAAAAGCCCAGCTGGGAAAAAGATTGCTCAGGGTGGTCCAAGAGCGTCTGACTAATGCAAGGAGAAGCAGGAGACGGCAGCCAAAGAAAACTTTGGAAAAATCTGCTAACAGAACTTTTCAGAGGAGTCATCTCAAAGGCAAATGGTAGAAGCATCTTTAACTTTAAAAATTAGTCAAAAGGACTGTAATAAAATGTTCCTATGAGAAGAGTCCAGCATTTCGCCTCTCCCGGTTGCCATGAGACACTGTGAAGTTTTAGAAGTAACTAATGGTGCCTTTTCAGTGAACACTGCCTCACTCATACAGAACTTCAGAAATTCTGAGTGAGCAGCTGCAGATTCTTCACAGCAAAGGTGGTCTTAATCACTCTCACAAAGGCAGGGGAACAATCCAGCTGGGTTTCCTAGTCTTCAAATCTCTCTCCTAATCTACTACCAAATAATCTTATTCTAATCCTTCACCTTTTATATTCTCCCAGAAAAAAATGATAAGTAGTTTCCAAGAGACAATGAATATGCAAGGTGCCACCTGAATGGCCCAATGCTTAGCTTTCAATGTTCTATCTTATTTTACTAAACCTATGAACATATATATTGTTGTTCAGCTCTTTTTCAGTCACGTCTGACTTTTTGTGACCCATTTGGAGTTTTCTTGGTAAAGACACTGGAGTGGTTTGCCATATCCTTCTCCAGCTCATTTTACAGATTAAGAAACTGAGGCAAAAAGGATTAAGTGGCCTACCCAGGGTCACATAGTAAGTGTGTAAGGCTGGAGTTAAACTCAGGAAAATGAGTCTTCCTGATTCCAGGCCTGGCACTCTACCCACTGTGTCATCTAGCCGCCCCATGAATACATATACACGCCAAGAAAACCTGGGTTATCAGGAGGAAGGTAAGTATAGCTATGACAGAGAACATCTACGAAACTGGTAACTAGCTGCCAAACTATACCAAGTGCTTAAGTGTTAGGTATCTCTGGCTAACTGAGCTGGAATTCTGTTCCAAATCATTTGATACCAATGTGAAGGTTATGAAGTATTTTTTAGATTTCATATTAAGGCCCAGAACAGAGAAGAGCTTGCTAAAAGGTACAGGAAAAGTTAAGGGGTCACCCTGGAAGAAACACCAGTTTCCTGATTCCCATCCATCCTAATGCTTTTGACTTTTGACTTTCACTATGAACAGCTGTTCCCATTTCTCCACAGGCAGACTACATAGTAATGATCGTCTTTGTGGTATGGGATATGATCCTCCCTCCCTCTGATCCCTACTATATTTTAAATCCCTTTCCCTTCTTCCTTGCCATCTTCTTGCTCCCACCCATCATGACCTAGTGGTTTCCACCAATCACAGTCGTTCAATGAATACTGCCTCTCTCACACATACCTGTAGCAGTGCCAGATCGGCATCCTGAGCGAGCTGCTGCAGATTTTTCACAGCAGAGGTAGTCTTAATCACTCTCACAAGTGCAGGGGAACAGTCTAATGGGAGTTCATTGAGTAAAGACTTCTCATCATTGAGCAGCAGTAAGGCATGGTAAGGCCTGCCATAGGAGAAACCCACGTTAACTGAAATCATTCCAAGAACACTCAAAGCAATGAGTAGCCATGGGCCAGGGTGTGCTTCAGCACACAGCCTGCACAGACTATACAGGGGACTGCAAGAGGACTCAAGGAGGCCTTGGGAAGTAAATCTGGACTTGGCAGCTTCACTGCCTGTAGCCTAGTGTGTCAAACTCAAATAGAAACAGAACCACTAATCTGTACATAAGGATCCCTGTGGGCTGCAATGACTTAGTTTTAAAATGTCACATTATCTACATTTTACTGTATTTTAACTTATTTTATTAAAGACTTCTCAATTATAATTTAATCTGGTTTGGGCTGTCCTTGGGAGTGCTGTGGGCTGCATCAGCCTGTGTTTGACACTTGTGCCCTAGTGTACAATGCTAAGTCCAAACTGAAACTGCCAAGAGGTATTAAATAACTTAAGGGAACAAGCAGGGGGAATTAAATCAGATCTTGTGTCAGGAAAAAAGGCGAAAAGAAGATAAGAAATGTGATGGGTGCTTCTAAAATCAGTTAGAAATATTACTGGGGAATACAGTTCTCCCCATACGGTTTGGAGAGAGGTACTAGACTTAAAATCAAAAGGCCTGGGTTTGCATTCTGTAAAATGGAGATAAAAACTGTATGTTATGAGGAAAGTGCTTTGAGAACTTTTGAAACGCAAGCTCTCCAAAAGGAAAGCTTTCTGTGTGAGAAAAAAACAAAACAAAACTAAAACCTAAATTGAAGAAGTTTTTAGGAATAAGGAAACTTTTTTAAGGAAAGAGAGGGATAATGCACATTCCCATAGAACTTCAATGCTGACAAAGAACTTTTCTCACAAGAATTATTACATCCATTTTATAGGTGAAATGGCCTAGAGGGTTGAAGTGACTTGCCCATGGCTTCCCAGATGGGAAGTATGAGAAGCAGAACTCTTGACCACAGGGCACACACCCTTTTCGAGGTACCACACTGACTCTTTGGTTCTCTGAGGAACCAAAAGGAGTAAGTTTTTATAACCTATTTCCTTGATGGAAATTTGTAAATGTGGTGATGAAGTCAATCAGAAACAAGAAAGGCCTTGAGAAGGCAGTCTCATGATGACTAAGTCAGACTTGCAAAGAGTTAAAAATGAACTGCTCAGCTTAGCCCTGGGCTACAACTCACTCCCCTGAAACCTGGCCTTCATGAGGTAAAACAAATGGTCACTAGGCCTAGAGCTGAGATCACAGAAAAAGATCTAAACCTATCCTGGGTGCAGCAGGGATGGAGCAAAGGGATGGGCATTTCAGCCACTGCTGGGCACTGTCTCATCTAAAATAAAAGCCTATCATGTTTTGATTATGACAAATGGTAGAACCCCACTGCCCATTTCAGTAGGAAGCAGGGGAGTAAAAGCACCTGGCCTGTGGGTCCAATAGCTTTCAGAAGTAATGTAATCAGCAAAACATTTGGAGTAGAAAGCACAGAGCAATCCAGAAAGGACAACAATGATCTAGGAATTACTGGAGAGAAGTGGGAGCCCAAGCCCCTTGGAGAAGAGGATATAGTTACCGGATAGCTTTCAGACTTCTTTCAATGGCTTCTGGAGGTATAAAATTTGTTGCGACATAATGGATTTTATGAGGCAGGCAGAAGCTCACTTCCAGCCAATTGTTGATGTGTAACCGTACAACCCCAGTGGTACACAGGCTGCAGAAAACCAAACACAACGATGTTATCTGTGGAGCCTGCATCCTGCTGCATCAAACTGCACATAAGCTGTCTCACTCTTTTTTTTTTTATTTTTTTTTTGTCTTGCTCTTTTAGCAGAACTTTTTTTTTTTAAGGCAATTGGTGTTAAGTGACTTGCTCAGGGTCACACAGCTAGTAAGTATCAAGTGTTTGGTCTGAGGCCGGATTTGAACTCAGGTCCTCCTGACTTCAGGGCTGGTGCTCTATCCACAGCAGGACTTTCTTAAATGGCTTTTGACAAGAGATTTCCTTTTACATGTTCAACATGTTACAAAGACCCACTTACTGAAATTTCACAAATTAAATCTCAACCTGGGTATTCTGTTTCTCATTCAGTCTGCTCCTGCTTGTCAGTAGAAACATGAAAGTAGATATTAAACTGTTCCCTTACCATAGGAAAACCACAGAAGGAAAGTTGTTACTGCTTGGAAAACGAAGAAAACGCATGATAGGAATCACTCACATTCTTTATTTTTAGCCTTGGGATCTACGGTTCAGTAACAATGCTGAAAAAAATCAACTGTAAGAATCTTCGATCATTCCCATCCCTGAAGACCAATGAGAAGAAGGAGCACATGTTCGGCACAAAAGAATAAATTCAGTTATAGGGCTTCCTTTCAACAGCTTGTCAGAGCCTGGTTTTTGCCTCACTACCCCCATGACTTCAGCATCTGTTCTGCACAGAATCTTCACAGAATTTCAGAGTCAGAGGGACCTCAATGGTCATCATATGGAACCCATACAAAGAATTCCCTCTGTAACAAAACTGATGAGAAACCACCCAACCTCTGTCTAAAGACCTTCAACGAAGGAAATCCCCCTACCTCCAATGGCAATCTATGCCACCTCTAGGGTAGCTTTAATTGTTAGGAAATGCGTCCTTATATAAACCTAACTTTAAATTTAAACTTTGAGCGAATGCTCCTAGTTCTACCCACTGTGACCACATAGAACAATCCCTCTTCCAATTCCTCCTTCACATAGCAGCCCTTCAAATACCTGAAGGTGAATGAATAGTCAACACCTACTACAGTAAGGAAAGGATATGTCACGCCTGTTATAATGGATAAGGCTCAAAAACTGGCCAAAAGCTGAAACTAGAAAAGACATGGGCAAAAAATTAGCCTAGGCTCTGGGTGGGACAAAGGGGGCCCCTCAAGGGAATGTATACTTTGCCTGGCAAGTTTCATATTCAGAGTATATTATTTTAATGTCTATAATTTTTAGGATATGTGGAGAGATGGGACAAGGAAGAGAATTATGGTCCTTTGTCTTAGGAATTTAACACATGAGTTATACTAACTACCTCCAAGGAGCATGTTAATGGAGATAGCCACAAGAAGGATCACAAGAATGCAGCATGAATGGAACCTAAAATAAGATAGTCAGAAAACGAACCCCAAAATGAACCATGAATGAACCATACAGAGCAGGAAAATGGTTACCAAGACAGTGGAGCTTTGACTCAGACTAGGAATATATAGAGCTATATAAATTACGACAAACAATTGAGGCAGGATGTTTGAGCAGCCTCTGAGACTGAAGAAGAATGGGATGTGGCTTAATGCATAAAACGGCATGTATCCAGGGAAGGAGATTTTGTCAGTGCATTCAGGATAGGCCCATTTCCTATACCTTTTAGCTGTACTTACATAGAACCAATAAAATACTTAGATAAATCCAGGTTTCTTCCAAATTACACCATGGCCCATGGAAAGCCACTGTATGGCGGGTGAAGAAGAAGGAAGGGGTAGAGATTGAGGTAAGAAGGACAACAAAGAATCTGAGAATCTTAGAGTTGGATGGATCTAAAAGGTCATCTTGTCCCATTCTTAATCTAAAAAGAATCCCAAAATGTGGTCCTCCATGTTTGCCTGAAACATATGTAGTAAGAAGGAAGCTATTACTTCATATAGGCTATTCTACTCTTGCATAGTTAGAAATTAAACTAGAAAAAAATGAAAAGTCTCTTGTAGCTTGGACTCTGCATCCACCTTATATATGAGCCATTGGGAAATGAGCCATCTCTAATTCCACAGGTTGATCTGAGATGTTGGCAGATTATTTTGCCAGTCCCTAGTAGTCATTTTAGCTACACACAAAGGAAGACACTGGTAGTAGGACCCATACAAAGATGCTTTTATATGTATAATAGATATGTTAGAGCTGGAGGAGTCCTTAGAAATCATCTCATCCACTTTAGTGGACTAATTAGCAGAAGAGGTAAATAGGAATCTAGGTCTCCAAACTCCTATCTCAGTGTTCTTTCTTTTTATTGTTCAGTCATGTCCAACTCTCTGTGACCCCACTGGGTTTTCCTGGCAAAGTTACTGGAGTGGTTTGCCATTTCCTTCTCCAGATCATTTTATAGATGAGGAAACTGAAGCAAAAAGGATTAAGTGACTTGCCCAGGGTCACACAGCTAGTAAGTGTCTGAGGCTGGATTTGAACTCAGGTACACTCCAGGCCTGGCACCCAATCCACTGTAGCACTTAGCTTCCCCAGTACTCTCTCTACTATACCTCAACTCTGCAGAAGAGTAGGGAAAAAAGAGAGAATAAAGGCAGTTAGCATCATTACTAAGATAAACCTACCTTATGCGGCCTTTGATACTACTGGTATCATGTACTTTTCCTTCTACCAGGCTCTTAATCATTTCTGTTGACTTTTCTGATGCCAGTTTGGGTTTGGATATTTATTATAACTGACTGACAACCACTGCCTACAGTGAGCTCTGCTCCTTGCCCATAACTGCTGCAAGATGGCTTATTTGTTTTCCAGATAAGTCTACTGTGTATTTCTAGGTTGGGAGACTTCAGAAATTAAAAACAAAAAGTAAACAGTGCTCTTTTAAGAACATTGCTAATGAAGTACCGACGATGTATACACGATCCATCTCCTGAATGACTGCCGATGGATTCAAAATACAGAATCAGGCATTAGGTGACAATGTGGGAATTTATTTTGCTTGACTACACACAATTTTTTTCTTTTGGGCTTTGTTTTCTTTTTTCTTTTAAATCAAAGTTGTGTGGAAGGGAGATAAATGCTTGTTAATTGAAAAATAGGATAAAATGAAAAAAACTCTTAAAGAACATTCCTAATGCCTCTGCCATAGAATAATCAGTAAAGATAATTTGTTTGTAGAATATATCTAAAGGAGGGTCTTGGGAAAAAACTTTAACCATAAGTTTTATATGGACAATTTCAGAGGAAACTGAGAAGACCTTTATGAACTGATGTAGAGTGAAATAAGCCAGAGAACAATCTGTACAATGATAACATTATACAGAAAAACAACTTTAGAACTCTGACCAAAGTAACAATAAACTATGAGTTGAAAAGAAAGATGAAACATGTCACTCACCTCCTGACAGAGAAGGGATGAACTTAAAATCCAGAAAGAGACATACATTTAAAGATATGGCTAATGTCAGAATTTGTTTTGCTGTAGATAAGTATTGAAGGGTGTGGTTTTGGGGTTTGCATGTTTGTTTTTTTTAATTTGCCCAGTGGGTGGGCAGGGTAATAACAAGAGTAGAATAATTTAAGAAAAAACTTGTACTTGAAAAATTAAAAAAAAGCAATAAAACCCAGTAAGTTTTATGCTTTGTACATAATCATTAAATTAAGCAACAATAATTACACCTGTGTCTGTATTTATAACTCCTCTCTATCTAAATGCACTGGAGAAATGGAAAAGTCAGGGGCAGCTAGGTGGTGCAGTGGATAGAGCACCAGCCCTGGATTCAGGAGGACCTGAGTTCAAATCCGGCCTCAGACATTATAACACTTACTAGCTGTGTGACCCTGGGCAAGTCAATTAACCCCAGTGCCTAGCCAAAAAAGGGGGGGAAAAAAAAAAGGAAAAGTTCTCTAGTTAGATTTTCTGCAACATCAACATCTCTAAAACCTATTACTAGACTTATGACTAAATTATTGTGAGTCCTGCTGGTGGAAGTTAGTTATATTAAGAAACATTTCCTGTTCTGCTCAGGTATTCAGGCCCAAATCTGGGAAAACAAAGACTGAGTGTCCTTTAGATCCTATTTCATTTCACTTGGAGGTCAAGTACAATCACTGCCTTGTCTATTTCCAAAGCCAGAAATCTGAAGAAATGCAGTGCCAACGAATGTGAAGTGGGTCCCCTGAATGTCAACAGAGAACAAGAAAGGTATGCTATGGAAATAACACAATCTACCTTTTTGCATCATGCCTGTGAAGAACTGAGAGTCACCGAAGAAAGGACACTGAGGGTTCTAGTGCTGCACAAAGACACTGACCTTCCAGTCAGGGGCACACTGTCAGACCACTTAATTATGGATAGGAAAAGCCAGAGTATCAAAAATGATCTACGCTGTGGAAAAGCAGCATGCTGTAGTTGAAAGAATACCTGTTTGGAAGGTGGAAACCCTATTAAAACTTAAAACTGTTCTCTGACTTTTGGGACACCCTGTTTATTTAAGTCCCAATTCTGCCACTTACTGGCTTGTGTGACTCTGTCCAGTCACTCACCTTCCTCTAGTCCCAGCTGCCTCATCTATTAAAAAAAATTCACGACTTAACTTATAGGAATAGTATGAAGATCAAATGAGATAACATACGCAGTATCCTTTTTTATTTTGTTTTTTTGCTTTTTTGGCTAGGCAATTGGGGTTAAGTGACTTGCCTCGGGTCACACAGCTAGTGAGTATCATGTGTCTGAGGCCAAATTTGAACTCGGGTCCTCCTGATTCCAGAACCGGTGCTCTAACCACTGCGCCACCTGGCTGCCCCTGCAGTATCCTTTTTAAACCAAAAGGGCTACATAAAGGTGAGCCGTTGTATTATCTTTTATCCCAAACCCATGTTTTCTGCCTTCAATGCCAGCCCTTAAGCTTCTTCTAACCAACTCACATCAACAAAGTTGGTAAGGCCTTTTGATTAGCTAAGGTACAGGTAAAAATAAACCAACCTCC